TACCTGCACATGTGATGTGACAATAAAAGTGATTTGATTTGAGATATATATATATTTTAGTAGAAATTGAAGTCATTTTGATGTAGTAATTATTTCAGTGGTGTAATGAAGCTTCCATACAGTATATCCCAGCTGTTCACTAGCTTTAACTTGACTATTTAACATTTCAGAAGCAACACATCAATATCAGAGATTAATGATTAAACACTACAGTACAATACTACAATTTGACCGTATCACACAACAATAGCAACAATGGCAGAGAAGTAATTTCTTAAAGAAATTATTAAATTTTTAATCCAAATTTTTGCCAAAATTTCCAAGTATTTTGGCTAAATAGGTATTCAAAATAAATGTTTAGGGGTTTTATTAGTTTTAAAAATTATTTACATTATTTCTTTCAAAATTGTAAACTTAAAATATGCATTAAAATTCACTAATTCATAGTTTGCTAATTGGTTAAACATAGAGAACTATAGTGGAGTCCAAATCCCAGAAAACATTGGCTGTACTGAACAGTGCTCAGTGATTTTCATCGTTTTAAACATGTTTTTAGTGCTCTTTCAATTCACTGCAGTTCTTTGTCTATGATTACTTCTGTTTTCTTCATCTTAGAGGCTATGCTCTAGGACCAAGAACATGACAAGCACAAACAAGTGTAGCCCACACTACTGGATGTACTAACATGTATTTTTTTTTACACTGCCCTATGTTTGGCAGCTAAAGACTACCAGCACACCAACAAGACACTGTCATGCCAGATACTAAGAGCAATAACTCTCTTTGCTCAAGGCTTATCATCACTGTCAGTTCAAGACAACCAGCAAATAAAGGTTTTTTAAAATAAAAAAATGCTAGATAACTGTTATCAAATGATCAAACATCAAAGTGTTCTTATGCAGTGTGTCTTGAAGTTAAATTGATGTATTTTGAATCAGTTTCAAAGATATTAGGAAAAAATACAACTGAAAAAGATGACATAGTTGTTGTTTTTTTAAAATGTTACACAAACAGAGTCTTTGTTGTCACTGGTCATCAGTCGGTTACTGCCACCCTGTCAAATATAGTGAAATTACAGCATTCAGGCCTCTTCTGTTTTTGAACACTTTATTTGCAGGGCTCGCAAAATCACTAGCCCGACGTCCCGGGGCTAGCGATTTTTCCAGTCGGGCTACCAAAATCTAACTCAGCCCTGCCCGTCGGGCTATCATAGGAAGGAAAATATATGTCTATGCTTTTGCATTCTTTCAGCAATGTAGCTGAGTAATTATGTCATTGGCATCGTGAGCCACTGTCAATATGTGACATATTGAAATCGCGTTTTGAATTTGCGCTTGTTTTTTGCTTTCACTTTCAATTTCAGCGCGAACTGTGTAGTAGAGAGCGAGCAGCACTGATTGGTGAGTGATCGATTATATTGCGCACCAATTCCTCTGACATCGTCTTATCATCGTTAGCTTACTATTCAAAAGTGACAAGTGAAATCTCTCGCAGCAAGCTTAAACATGTGAGAGGTTGAGTGCGCAAAGAATCGCTGACCGTTATGTAAGTACGTGTGTAAAAGCAGCAGGATTTACGCTGGTATTTTAGTTCTGCTCGAGCCAAATAAGACAGGTCAGGGTGAAGAAGGGGCAGCCAAAGAAAAGCTTACCACAAAACGGAAAAGTTATGACAAATCAGACTATGAGGCAAAAAGAAAGCGCAGCTTTTTTGGTTTCATGGACAAAAGAATTTCTGTGGCTGGAATATGACAGAGCTAAATAACATGATGTTCTGCCAGGTGTGTTGTGAGTTTCATTTGATTTCTGAGTCGACAAGCGCCTTTGTTACTGGGACCTAGTATTTTAAGAAAGACCCATCAGAACCCATGAGAAATGCAAGAAATGCATTATTGCCCAGTCTGCAGTATCTTTCCCAGGAACAAACACCAATTGCAAAAAACATACTAAAAATAAACCAAGCACAACAAGAATCCTGAAAAATGCTGTTTAGAACAGCGTACTATGATTGCAAAGAGTGAACTACCATTGGCAAAATTTAGCAGTCTTTGCAAACTTCAAAAAGCAAATGGCCTAGATCTTGGTTCCACTTAGCCTCTTACCCGTGACTTCAGTGGAAATTTCAGATTCAGGATCTGACACAGACTGATTCATGTTCCTACACAGTTCTTACAAGTTCATAGAAATTTCTGTTCCATTTGAACCAAGTATTTGAGTTGATGATTGTAATTTTTATACAGTTGTTGTGATTTTTATTTTAACAATTTTTTTGATTAATTTTTGTTTCCATTACAATATTATATTGTAATGGAAACAAAACATTAAAAAAATTGCTTTCTTTTTTATTCGGGCTACTTAAATTTATTTTGGGCTACCAAAAACTGAAGAATGCCTTCCCGAAGGGCTACCAGAGATTTTGAAATTTTGCGAGCCTTGATGTGTTATTGAGTTGATTTCATTTTTTAAAAAGATTAACTTTCCCATCCATAACCCATGATGCCAAAGTGAAAATATGTTTTACATTTGCTATCCAACAAAACCGGCATTATGTGAACCACCTTGGTAGGACTGCTGCCCACTGACCAAAGAAACCCGTGGATATTAAGAGAAGGATAAATGATGCCACATACAGAGAGAGCCTAAACATAATCCTCATCCCAGATTTTTAAAAGTTGTTATTCTACTTTGTACCATGCACCTTGTTATTGTGGGCTATTGAATATACATTAGTGGGAAATTGCTTTTTTTTTTTTTTGTCTGTGTAAAATTGAACCTACAATGCAGTCACATTTGTAAAAAATGGGACATTTAAAGCATAAAACCACTGTATGTAACAAACTTGTGAACCTTTGCTCTAAGCAGTTTTCTCCTTACTGACAACACACCAGTGAGACTCATATTTAATTGTTTATTCACTCTAACTGGCTACAGGTGACAATTTTCACTGCCACCTTTAATGCTGCTGTTTCTACAATATTCATAGCCGTTCAATCAATAATAATCATTCAGCTCCAGGGTCTACGTTAGTGTTTCTCACTTCCTCTTGCACGATCTTCTAGAAACACACACACACACACCCACACACACACACACACAAACACACACACACACACACACACACACACACACACACACACACACAGACAACAATCAGTATGGCTGAGCAGGGTAATGTTTGTCAGTTTCCGTGTATGTTCAAACACAATGAGAACACCTGATGTGAAAACATGCAACCCTTCTGCACGTCTCGCTTTCCCTGCTGTCACCATGAGGGAAAACGTTAGTGGCATTTCCCAGCAGGTCTGTTTGACCTTCTCTCGTTTGTTTAGCCTCTACTTTCTCCTTTGCTCCATCACAATTTGGTGGCTAAACCAGAAAGTCAGGCAATCCTTACCAGAGAATGTTTCACTTGCATATTATGTTTTATAAGGGAAACATTCTCAGTTGTGTGTCACAAAGTTGAACAAAAATATTAAAAACTCGCCCGCATCAGGATTACCACAACAACTGCAGAGATATGGATCAGCTTTTGATCGATACAGAGCACAAGAAGTGCTGGAACCTTTATAAAGTCCAGGATTTGGCTTACTAAGGTCTAGGGAACAACCAGTAGTGAACTCACTTAACAAAGGCCACATATATAATAATGTAAAACTACATAACATAACATAACATAACATTTGAAAAAGTAATAATGGCCTTTCATTTGATTTTAATGTTAATTAAATTAATGTTAAATTAGTCACT